GCTGATCCTGCATTGAGCAGGAGGTTGGGCTAGATGGCCTGTGTGGCCCCTTCTAAATGTTGGCTGAACCACTCTGCTGTGGGCTATGAGAAAGGACATGGGTTACAACCAGCGCCTTGAGTTGTGGCCGGGAGGGAACAGAGAGACAGAGCAGCCACTAGAGCACTGTGGTAATGTGCCATAAGTGGCTCAAGCTAGATGGGTAGACAGCATGAGCCCAAAGGATCTCTGATGCACTTGCACTGTTGGAAGTGCCTTTTGGCTGAACGAGGCAGCCACTGTCTTGAAAACAACAAGGGCTTTATCTCAAAAGCCAACGGAGCTTGACAATTCTAAAGGAGAATTGTCCATTTAAAGGAGAGGATGCGGGAAGACGGGGAAGCAGCAGAGGAAGAGAAAAAGGAGAGCACTAAAATCGAAAGAGACAATAAAGAGCCAAAGCTTTTCCACAGCTGCCATTAATAATGTATTTCCGATATATTGCACTGTTGTATAAATGGTCGCCGGTTTCCCCTTCTCTTTGTGGGAAGAGGCGCTAAAAATCAATACTCATCCCAGTTGTAAAAATTGGTTTTCTACAGTGTGTTCCCCCCCCCCTCCTTTTTGGGCTTTTTCCTTGAGCACAATCTTGCTCTTGGTGCAAAGGTTCTGAAGTCTCAAATACAAGGATTCTCCTTTAATTTAAAGAGAGACGGGGTTTAGCTCTCCTACATGGGAGGGAGGGACACAGAACTCAGACTCACTGCCATCAATGAGGGAACGTTTGCTTCACAAGCAGTGAGGCTGCTACGTAAAGGGTGGAGGAGGAATAAGGCAGCATTGGGTAAAGCTGGCCATGAAAGCAAAAGTGCTGAACAACATCCCAAATTCTGCACCAAGAAACAATACCAATTCTGCAACTTGCTATAACACTGGATAATGGATTCTGCTTGGAGAGGTTCTGTGGCTCAGTGGTAGAGCAGCTGCTTGGCATGCGGAAGGTCCCAGGTTCAATCCCTGGCATCTCCAGTTCAAAGGGCCAGGCAGTAGGTGACCTCTGCCTGAGACCCTGGAGAGCTGCTGCCAGTCTGAGTGGACAATACGGACCTTGATAGACCAAGAATCTGATTCAGTACAAGGCAGCTTCATGTGCAGGTTCACGTGTTCTCCTGTTGATCAACACATGAATGATGCAGGTCCAGCAGCTGGTGTGGTGCGGTGTGGTATCGTGGTTAGGGTGCTTTCATGTGCATGCTTATACCCAAGATACAGCTTTGTTGGTCTTAAAGGAGCCACTGGACTCAAAATTTGTTTTGCCTAGTGGGGCCATTGTAATTATCTGTTTAGATAATCCATACCCTGCTTTCCTCCTTAACAGCAAACCAAAGCAAATTACAATATTGTTCTCCCTTCCTCTCTTTCGTCCTCAGAACAACCGCTCTGTGAAATAGGTCAGCCCAAGAGAGGGCACCTGGCTCAAGATCACCCAGGGAGCTTCCATGGTAGAATAGGAATTTGAGTCTCGCAAATCCTACTCCGATATATGAACCATGACATCATGGATATCGAGGAAGCTCCTTTGAGAGAAGAAGAACGAGAAGAGGAGGAGGAGATTGGCTCTATACTCCACCCTTCACTACCTGAAGGAGTCTCAGAGTGGATTACAATCTCCTTTCCCTTCCCCTCCCCACAACAGACACCCTGTGAGGTAGGTGGGGCTCAGAGAGCTCTCCCGAGAACTGTCCTTGAGAGAACAGCTCTGAAAGAACCTATGACTGGCCCAAGGTCACACCAGCAGCTACATGTGGAGGAGTGGGGAATCAAACCCGGTTCTCCCAGATTAGCGTCCGCAATGCCAAACCACCTCTGGACACTCATTGAAAGCTCCATGGGGTCGCCATAAGTCAGCTGCAACCTGATGGCACTTTCCACCCCCACTATCCCCACCTAACAATTCAGTGCTACGAGACCCTCTGCTGGCCATGCATTTGGATTAATTTGGTTCCTTGAATCGAGTTTGCTGTCTCTTATGTTTACTGGGCTCTTCTGATCCTTTTTAGCACTCCTAACTGGTTTCCAGTCACTGATACATCAGAATGCTGTCCAGCCTGCCAATCAAGATCCTCCTCCCAAGCCCTGTTCTCCGTAACCCACCCTGCAGAGGTGGGGGGTGGGGATGGCACCTTTTCAGTGGTGGCACCTTGCCTTTGGAATGCCCTCCCCTTGAAGGCTCACATGACCTACCTTACTGCGGGTTTTAGGCCAAAGTACTTATTTCTACTTAGGCTTTTAAGTGAGTGGTTACATCTTTTAAAGGAGCTGCGGTGGCTCAAGTGGTTAAGATGCTGAACTACAGGCTGTGGAAGGTCGGTAGTTCAGCAGTTCGAGACCCGGGTGCCGCATGACGGAGTGAGCTCCCATCTCTAGTTCCAGCTCCTGCCAACCTAGCAGTTCGAAAGCAAGACATTGCAAGTAGATAAATAGGGACCACTTCGGTGGGAAGGTAACAGCGTTCCGTGCACCTTGGTGTTTAGTCATGCCGGCCACATGACCACGGAAATGTCTTCGGACAGCGCTGGCTCTTTGGCTTTGAAATGGAGATGAGCACCGCAACCCTAGAATCGGACTCGACTGGCTTTCGAGCAAGGGAACCTTTACCTTTTACATCTTTTAAAGCTGTTTTTGTGGATATCATTTTCGGCTATTGAATGCTGTGTTATGCTGTTATTATATGGGGTTTTTTTTAAAAAAAAGGTGCCCAGAGCAGACCCAGGGAATTACAGGACACTTAGGCCTACAACTTTTCCTGGGAAGTTAGTAGGTACAATGATCAAGCAGGCTTTGTTTCTTAGGGAAAATCAGCCTGGCTTCTTCAAAGAGAGGTCCTACTTCACCGACTTATTGGAGTTCTTTGAGCTGGTTACCAAGTCAGTGGATAAGGGTGATCCAGCTTTACTTTACTTTATTTTACATTCTAATCATTACATAATTTGGACTTCCAAAAGGCTTTTGACAAGGCACCTCACCAAAGACTCCTGAGTAAGCTTAAGAGTTATGAGATGCCAGGACAGGTCCTCTTAGGGATTAAAGGCTGGTTAAACGGCAGGAAGGAGAGAGTAGGAACAAATGTTCTTACAATGGAGGAAAGTGAGCTGTGGGGGTCCCAAAAGGACTGGTATTGGGGGCGGTGCTGTTTGATTTGTTTATAAACGACTTGGAATTGGGGGTCAGCAGTGTAGTAGCCAAGTTTCCAAATTATTCAGGATGGTGAAAACCACGACAAGTTATGAAGAGTTCCAGGAGGACGTCTCTAAATTGGGTGAGTGAGCAACAACATGGCAAAGTGCAATGCAAGCAATAACAAGCTGATGCATGTCAGAGCAAAAAAAAATCCTAACTCTAAATATATGCCGATTGGTTCTCAGCTGGCTAGGACCAACCCTGAAAAAGATCTTGGGGTTACAGCGGATAGCTCAACGAGAACATGTACTCAGTGTGAGGCAGCAGTGAGAAAGGTGGACTGAATGCTTGGGCTTTATTAAGAAAGGATCTGAAAATGAATGCCAGTGTTGTGATGCACTTGCATAGATTTATGGTGAAGCCTCGACTGGAACACTGTGCAGAGTTCTGATCATCCTATCTCCTAACTGGAGAGCCAGTGTGGTGTAGTGGTTAAGTGTGCGGACTCTAATCTGGGAGAACCGGGTTTGATTCCCCACTCCTCCACTTGCACCTTGGTCAAGCCTGGAGTGAAGGGCAGGGTATAGTCAGAGCTCTCTCAGCCCCACCTACCTCACAGGGTGCCTGTTGTGGGGAGGGGAAGGGAAAGGAGTTTGTAAGCCGCTCTGAGACTCCTTTGGGTAGTGAAGGGCGGGGTATAAATCCAATCTCTTCTTCAAAAAAAAAAGATGTTACAGAACTGGAAAGAGTACAGAAGACGGCTGCCAAGATGACTGAGAGACGTTATGGAGGATTATAAAATTATGTGTGGGATCGAGAAGGCAGACAGAGAGTACTTTTTGACTTATCCCATAACACCAGAACTTGGGGGGCACCCAAGGAAGCTGAAGGGCAATCGATTCAAGACAAACAAAAGTAAGCACTTCTCCCCTCAATAAGTAATTCAATTGTGAAATTCACCACCGGTGGATGTAGTGATGTCTAGTAGTGAATACGGCTTTTAAAAGTGGATTAGCCAGGTTCATGGAGAAGAACTCTATTACCAGCCATGATGACGCAAGGGAACCTCCACATCCAGAGGCAGCAAATCCCTGAATGCTGGTGCTGGGAGACAATATCAGGGTGCGGCTTGGCTTCTGTGTCCTCCAAAGGCTTTTGGTTAGCCACTGTGTGAGACAGGATGCTGGACTGGGTGGGGTGATCCAACAGGGCAATTTTGATGTTCTTATGAAAGATACCAAGGAATACAGTAGCATGTCAGTACCAGCGACTGCTGAGATTCCAGTTCTGAGTCCGCTTTCTAGCTCCTCTAGTTCAGAGGTCAACTGTGAATTCTTGTACATTGGTCGTGAGAGTCGGGCAAGGCCGTGACCAAAGCTGCAAGGAGAAAAAGGTCTTACCTCAGTGGTCGAAAGCACCGTATCCTCATCGAGGCTTAAAACCGCATCAGTGACAATGTTCTCATAGGGCAGGAAACGGCTGCTCATGACCTGCGGGTAGGACAAAGACAGTTGATGAGGAGCTCATCTCTCCAAGGGCGACACAACACCCCTAACCAATCTGTCTCTTCATGGAGGAAAACAGCAACAACACACAGCCTTCCTAATAGCTAGAAAAAAATACAAAAATGTCTGTTCTCATACACATAAAAACCAAAAATATTGCTGCACAAGTTCATATGCTTACAAAACTAACAATAATGATATTTTAATATTTCAGCAAAACAGTAACATCAAAAGACCGAAGTCTTCAAACTGCGGAAGCAAGGACGAACTTTCTCGAGCTTGACAGTCCGTTTCGACCTGAGTCTTTATCAAACGTCAGTTTGTGTTGTTATTTCTTCAAATCATGAGCTTCCAAAATATGTGCATCAATTCAAAAGTGGCTAATAATAGCTCTAGTATATAACAGTTCCATCCAGATATATTATCCGGATGGAACTGTTATATACTAGAGCTATTATTAGCCACTTTTGAATTGATGCACATATTTTGGAAACTCATGATTTGAAGAAATAACAACACAAACTGTTTTGCTGAAATATTAAAATATCATTATTGTTAGTTTTGTAAGCATATGAACTTGTGCAGCAATATTTTTGGTTTTTATGTCATCTAAATTGCTGGGTCCTGGTTACTTTACGCTTGTTCTCATACACAACCAGTGGATTTTGTTGGGGTTTAATACATGTTTTTTCCAGGTATTTCTTGGCCTGAATGCTAAATTATCTACTCATTTACTTTAAGAAAAGTTGCTCCGTGAGAGCTCTTGGGTTCAAACTCCCCTTCCCTGTTTTCTCTGTACTGAATTTTGTCATAGGTGCTGCTTGGTTTATCTTTTCTTTTCTTCGTGTGTTTGTATTTACAACAGGCTTTTTTTTTCTTATTAGGTGTACATATTATATGGGGCTTATATGAGAAAGAGAAGACACAGAGAGAGAGAAAGGTACAGCATGGTAATCAATAACCATGTCACGTATTACACTGTGTACGGTGTTCTTCTTTCCCTTCACAGAAGACGGCATTCTGCACCTTCATCCGAATGGAAAGATTTCTCTGCTCAACTCTAAATGTCGATTTCTACCAGCGTTTCCAGCTTACAACCTTTGATAGAAGCAATTCATCTTTGAACAGCTCAGTTCCCCTTACAAGCAACAAAACAGCCTCATCACAAGAACAAAAAAAAAGAGTGGGGTACAAAATAAACGAGGGCCAATTCCACAGTGCAAAAATTCACATGGCCTAGGAACATCTGTGAAGGATTCGGCGGGAAGCCCACGTGCAGACTGTAACACTCAACAATCACACATATGCACACCTTACAGAATCTGCATATGCACACAACTGTAACTTCCCAGAATGGTTCTAGGTTACAATTATGTGTATGTGGAATTGTCATCTATTAACTATGTGAATGATCTGCACACTTTTCAACACAGTTGTTACTGTAGGCAGATATGTGCCCAACCCATCTGTTGCACTTTCCGAGTGGTGATAACCAACTGGACAACCAACTCTGTGGTTTCTTTCCCCCCCTACTACCATTTCCTCCATATCTTCAAGTTCCCTCTGGTTCAAGCAATCAACATTCTTTTTTGGGGACTTCCTGGTTCCCAGAATACAGATGGAAACAACAGGTGTCAGCCAAATTGGGGTGCATTATTCCCCGCCCCAAGAATGACAGCCAGATTATTGCAGTGGGACTCTTTATGTGAACATCTTTGGACTTCAATTTCTTCTGGCTTACCATTTAGTGACAACTACCATGAAGTGTAGTTCTAGGTGGCTGCTGTTGTGCTACTATCTTATGCAACTGGGAAGGGTCAGTAGTAAAGCACATGTTTTTGAGGCCAGACAACACCAGATACAGTCACCAGCACTTCCCATAAAGGACTCTCCAAATGCTGGGAAAGACCCTTTTCTCCCTGACCACCAGGAGAAACTCCTGCCAGTCATGGTAGATAGTACTGAGGTAGATGGACCAATGGTCTGACTTGATATAAGGCGGCTTCAGATGAGTGCGAAAACTCAAACCATCTGGATGGCGGGATCAATCACATGGTGCTTTCGTGCAGCGCCAACCAACTACCTCCTTACATTTTGGAATCTAATATGGTGCATATGGAGCTCCACGGAAAAGGAGAGTTGCTGCACTCTTGACTAGTGTTCCCCCTAAGCTGAGTTAGTGTGAGCTAGCTCACAGTTTTTTTAGCCTCCAGCTCACACATTTTTGTCTTAGCTCAGGAAGGATGGCTCCAGCAGAAACTAATTTACGCAGTAGCCAAATCACTCGCTCACAACTTTAATGCCAGTAGCTCACAAAGTAGAATTTTTGCTCACAAGACTCCACAGCGTAGAGGGAGCATTGCTCTTGACCACAACGTTAGGAACACAGGAGATTGCTTTGTTGTCTTTTCCGTGGCTATTAGGCACGAGGTATAGATGGAACACTATGCCTAAGGCAGTGATGCTCTGAATTCTTGGTGCTTTAGGGGCAACAGCGGGAGGGCTTCTGGAGTTCTGGCCCTGCTGGTGGACCTCCTGATGGCACCTGGGTTTTGGCCACTGTGGGACACAGAGTGTTGCACTGGATGGGCCACTGGCCTGACCCAACATGGCTTCTCTTATGTTCTTATGTCTCTAAATGGCTCTAGGGCTGGTTCCTACAAATACTTCAGAACTTGACAGGGTGTTTTAATTTCCTCAGGATCTCTGGTATGGAAAATGGGGTGGGATGAAACAGGGAGAGAGAGACACTCACATACGTACAAAATAATGCCCCTAGAGCGGGGCAATCTCTTAACAGAAGCCGCCTATCTTTGTCCTGTAGTAAATCTCCTGATGCTTTTCAACATGTCCAGTATCTGAGGCAGGAACCTATTTTGCCGCCAGCTTAGCAGTAACTTGACTTTTTCCTTGTTAAGCCTACCAAGGGAAAATCTCAAAGGCAAGGGCCATACATTTTAAACAGCTGAAAACTTCACAGCAAAAATT